ACTTTCTGGTCTTCCTCCCGCGCGGGCTCTCTGTATGCTGGGAGGAGTGACCGGGGAGTCACTTCCTCCCAGCAGTGATGTAATCACAGGGGGCCCAGTTGCACTGTTAAAGAGCCCAGCGCTGACCGGGCCCCATTACAATCTGTCTCCATCGGGTGGCCCTGACCGCATGGGCCACCCGATGGACCCCTTGGACGGCGGCCCCGGCGGATTGCCACGCAGGCCAGGGCCGCAAATGGTGATGGTGGGTACCCGGTCGCAGGGGTCCGCCCCCTTGAAGTGACGGGCCCAGTCGCAGCTGCGACCGCGGTATGTACGCCAGTGCTAGGAGTATAGGAGTGAAAAAAGGTTTGGGTAGAGAGAGAGAGAGACGTGGAGTTTGTGGAAGAGGGAGAAGCCTAATATGGGGGTAGTTTGTGCAATATATATTCTTATATGTGAAGGACTCAAGTCAATGTGTGTCAGAGTGTGTGCATACTGTCAGTGAATGTCTGGGTTAATGCATGAGTGCAATATCAGTGAGTGTGTGTGTATGTGTAGTGAATTGGCATATGCAGTGGCTCAATTCACACAACTTCTGCTTTTATAGAAGAACAACATATTGCAATTACAAAAGGGTTTTGAACCAGAACTTGTAACAGCACCTAAATTGCTTTGCTTTGGTAAGTGTCCCAAAGCAGGCTAAATCAATCTATTGTAAGCCGAGATCCACAAAGAAAACATGCACAAAGAATTGCATGCATTTTTTCTTTGGGCGTACATCTACTAAATTGTTAGAACCAATAAATGGCTAGTTCCTTTAAATCGAGTGAAAGGTATGTTGGATGCCACTATGAGACAGTCTCACCTGCAACTCACCACCAGCTTCTTCTATGGTGGCACAAATGAGCCCACTCACAGTGTATGCCCTGTGATTGCACAGACTGCACACCCAAAAAGCTAACCCTGAGAAGTGAGGAGTAGAGATATTGTAGAAGTGCTAGTGATCAGACAGTGATATCCATTAAAATACACCTGAATTTGGACTTACCTTACAAATACACACTTCACACATTATTTGCTCAAATACTCTAATGCATTCACACAAAATGACATCCATAACAATACACACACACACACACACACACTGCAGTTACACACTTAGTACTACATTCTTGTGTTTACAAATACATTGACTTCCCACAAATAAAATGCACAATTGGGAATGGTGTATTTAAATACCAACTCCAAAACCAAACAAAACCTAATTTCAAATGCAGACACTGCTCATTAACAAACAGACCTAGATTAAAACAAGCTTCTACTATTAACATTTAGAACCTTGCATTTCCACAATCTGATGCCTCCTGCAAAAAAAAAACCTCCCGCATATATACACACAAACACTACATTAAAATATACGCATCTTGACATTGCCCACGAATACAACTTTGCAGTCACAAACCCTGACACTATACACAAATGCATCCTTACATTTAGACGTGCTTTCACAAATTTGCACTATTCAAAAAAAACCAAAAAACTTTATGACCAGGGAGGGGCGCTGTAAAGATTTTTTGTACAGGGCTGGCCCTGCATGCTATACTCTACACATGGGTAGAAGGAGGAACACCACTGGCCTTTTCTGTATTCTAAGTAGTCAGTCATGAGGCTCAATTATTTACTGAACTCCCAACAAGTATGCATTGGGGTGTCGTGGGGCTGGGAGTCTTCTGTCTGGGTGACTGGGGATTTTAGTTATAATTGCAGCATTTTTATGCCTCACACGTTCCATGTTCGCCAATCCCTACTAATAGAGTCCGCCATTCTCAAATAAAGTTTTGATGGTGACTAACATTATAGCTAGTTGCCAGTCAGGAACAAAATTGATTACGTTTTCAAATGGCAACTTGATTCTTGATCTCAAGAAAACACTGGCCAACTGAAAGCTCTGGAATGGGGGTAATTACAATGGCTGTGGCTCCATCAACATCTTCTATAAACTTAGAGTCAGGAAATGAACAGAGAGAATATTTATTTTAGAAAATATAAAAATAACACTATGTATAATCATCCAAAATAATGAGGTCTAGACAAGGATTACATGACGAGATACCAAGACCCTAAAGCAAGATCACCAAAGAATCTATTTAAAAAATGAAATAACCTTGAAAGGAAAGTATTGGAAAAAATTAAACATATATGGTAACCTTAATCCATTATTATTTTTAAGACATTATTTCCAGTCACTCCACATAGATAGAAATATTTATTCTGGACTACTTATCAACATTTTTAAGCATTATTTTTTCATTAAATCTGCCAGCAGTGTGCTCAGACGGTATAGTTCGATTTAACGTTCTTCTTTGTTGATGAGTAGACTCCATGAATACAGTGTGTTCCTGTAGATACAAATTGATCTTTTCCTTGGTCTTTCAATCATTATAGTATTAACTAATTGGCAAAAAAAACTGTGACAATTGCAAATTGGATGGCAGCACTTAACCAAATTGGATGGCAGCACTTCGAGCAAGGGGGATTGTGAGAGGTGTGACGTCACTGTCTGGTGTCTGGATACTGTTTAACTGAAAGGGGTCAGGAAGGTTTATGTGAGGCTGTGATTAAATATTACTAATAATCTAGTTAACGAGTATGTATAAGAAATAAAATCTAGATAAACGTTAACATTTTATGATACGTGGATACCATTATTAACATTGATAATTCACCCCTTCAGTGCTGTTACAACTTTGATTAACCCCTGCAATGCTGATTCGACTTTGGCTAACTCCTGTAACGCTGTCCCAGCTTTGATTTATTTCCTGCAATTCAACTACAGCTTCAGTCGAGTTTCTCTTCATTTAACAAGTGCTGAAACTTTGGTAAAAGAACTTTATTTTCCTTAAAGACTTATTTTTTTATGAAGAAATTGCTTTGTTTACTGTTTATACATGCATTGGGACTTGCATATTCATTTGCTTTTCAAAAATAAAAACCTTTTAATTCAGTGACTGTGCCAGTATAAATCTCTGCACACTAAGCCCATTCTCCCTAAACCTGTGACACACTTCTAAGTACACTTTGATTAATAGCCCCCAATATTTCTATTTCTCTTCTTCACTTGCAAATTTTGCCCTGGCTTTGCCTTGTCTGCGAGTGATATAATTTGCTAAATATTTAATATAAATCTCATGTAAAAAAGGTGGACACAAGTTATAGGTGATTTTCAGTATTCTATTAAATTGTGTAAATTCCTGAGAAATGCTGGCTCGACATTAAAACTCAGGTATATACCGTTTTTTATAAATGGAGAGCGGTGCCCCTGCCCAGCGACGCTCTGCGCCTTCTGTAACTCAGATGCAGAAGGTGGATGCCACCTTGGGGACCTTGCGATCAGTGCTGGATGCAACCTTTGGTGTTTAACCGTTCGAGAACGGTTTAACCCCCTAAGGTAAGAGTGGGCTCAGGGGCCTCCTGGCACCATAGCAACTTTATTTAGATCTAGTGCAAACAACAATTGATCTAACAAATATCCCACTATCTGCAAGTTTTTGTTAAAAATCTTGTTTTGGTGGAAGGCTAACCAGGCGTGGTACTCAAGAGTGAATAACTGCAAGAAAATCCTAACTTTTTTAAAGAACAAAAGATCGGAGATATTTTTTGCATATTTAAAGTTGCTTAGCTACAGTCAACATATTAAGTGCTTGTGATGTTCCCTAGATACTACAGATTTATGAAGATAACTACCTCCTAAAAGCAAAGCACTGTTTGTGCACATTTATCTTGTGGCATTAATGTCAGGGTGGGTTATCTGCCTTATATATAATTACATTAAATGTGGTTCATATGCAGTCATGGCGATTTACTTTTTGGCTCATCCAAGGCAGGGATTAAACCCATATAATTTGTGTAATAAAATTACCTGCCTGTGTTTCTTTCAGCGTGGCATTAACAGTTATACACTAAATGCCTCTAGAGCAGGGAAGCCCAAAAGGTAGATCCACAGATATTGTGGAACTACAACTCCCATTATACTTTTGGAATGCCTTTAGAACGACAAAGCATCATGGAAGCTATCATTTTAAAACATCTGGAAGTCTAACTTTCGGACACCCCTGCTCTAGAAGGAAACATGAATTATACTGCGTGTGTGATAAGAATGGCTTTTTCCTCTGGGTGCCATGTAGTCAATGACTGGCCCTGGCTTCATCCTAAATTATTCTGTTGTGTTTGGTTTGAATTTTACTCTAATTTGAACAGTATGCATGGTATTGCTGCTATTGTCTCATTCATAATATGATTGATCGTTTTTATTATTTCCTTTGAGCAGTTTCACAACATGTCTTCATGACAGTACAGAGGCCTTCTAATTTCGTACTTCTCTCACCTTTCTGAAGTACTCAAAGGGGAACCATCCAACCAGGATTTAATACTATATTTATTTACGCCTAGTATTTAAAAAAATATGTATTTGTGAGGTCTATAAAATAAAATTACAAATAGAAATCCACACCTCTGTATTTACTTCTAGCTAAAAACTGAGTGCTTCCATCTTGGACCCCTGTCAATCATTGTTACAATGTCTATAGAAACATAGAATATGACGGCAGATAAGAACCATTCGGCCCATCTAGTCTGCCCATCTAGTCTATCTTATCTAACTGTCACTCAGCATACTAATAGTTTAAAAGAGAGAGAAGGAGAAATAGCATGTTTGTTTTTCTCCTCCTCCAATGCAATGTGGGCCAGGACAGAACTGGAATGTGATGTCATCTAACAAATCTTTAACCAGTTTGCTGCAGATTCTAACGCACAATTACCATTAGTTCTTTTTTTTTTTTTTGACAATTTTTATTGCAGTTGGGGTACAAAAGAAAAAGGATGGTGAGGATTGAGTAAAAGTTGCGTTTACAATAGCTTGGTTTAAAATTTTTGAACATACATATGGAATCGCATTTGTGTATATTAACATTTTGCAATAAACGTACATGTTGGATACTCATGTATTTGTAATTAGCTTGGTAGGTCGGAAGGGAGGTAATGGGGTTATCTGTGGTGTCCAACCTGGTTGGTTTGTGCCATAGATTGTTGCTTCTGTTAGTTTCCGATTTTTGCCTTTTTGCTAAATCGACCATTTTCGTGTGCTTTCTTGCGAAATGACTAACTAGACTTTGTATAATCCCTGAGTATTCTGCGCTCCTTTGGTCATCCATTTACGGCTACACAGGCGTATGGTCTGTATCGGTGTGTCATCTGGATGTTTATTAACAGTTCAGTGCAGGTTGGGTGAGGTCAGTGACTTTCGATTAGCTATCTGGTTATGTGTGCGCTTGTGAGTTGTTGGTGTCAGCATCTATGATCTTCTACTATCAACTCATCTATTGTCCTTGTTGAGCTAGTCCCTTTTCGAATGCTGCTTAATTTGTGCCTGTTTCTTTGAGGCTGCCTATTAATTGTTAACGGTGTGTGTTGTGTTAGTTTTGTTTGTGGTTTTTCAGACTGTGTTCCGTACTGAGATGGTCTCCTAACTCCATTATGTGTGTCTCGTGTGGGTCTTGTTCTCAGATCTTTAGTGCATGTTGTAGGGGGTAGTGAGTGTACTCTGCTTCTTCCCTTCTTTCCCTTGTATATGACCTGTGTCTGTTTAGAGTCCAGTACAGTCCGTGTTTCTGTCCATCGTCTCGTGTTATGTTTGCTTTGTTTCCCACCTTTTCACGTATAAGTTTTGTTCACGTCTTATGGGCTAAGTGTGTCCACGTTTGTTTGTGTGGCTACTTGCTTCCTAATGGTTATCTAATGGGTTTTATTGTAGAGGTTAGTCCTCTATGAATTTATAGCTCTTTCTAGCTTCTCAGATTTCCGTTTGGTCACACGTGATGTTAGCGTTTCTGTAACAGTTTGTGTCATGTTTGTGTCGTGTGATCCTCTTGTCTCTGTTCCTCCTGGCTTCTGCTGCCTCAGACATCTTTTTTATAGGGTGGTGTGTGGGGACCCTTGTGGGGTGAGTGAGGGGGTGGGGGGGGAAAGGGGTGGAGGGGATTGGTGTGGGTGCCAGGACGCGCGAGGGCCTCCGGGAGCTTTGGGTCGTGTTGTGATCCTTTCTATGTTCTGGTTTGTGTGAGGTATGTGTACCATGGTCTCCATAGCTAAACATGCTTAGTGCTTCTACCTAGCAGGTCTGCGTACCTCGCCTCTGCTGTATGAATTTCTTCTATTCTCTGTTGCCATTCTGCTTTGGTGGGTGGTTGGATTTGTTTCCATCTCGCTGGGATCAGTGCCTTGGCCGCATTGAGCAGGTGTCGTAGTATCGACTTTTTGTATTGGCTTATCAAGTTTTCGGTGTAGTGAGAAGCGCCATTTCTATGGTGAAGTCAGGTATATCCCCCAGTATTGTCGTCATTTTCCTTTTTATTTCATCCCAGAATGTTTTGATCTTGGCGCAATCCTACCAGATATGGCGTAGGGTGCCCATTTGGTTTTCGCATCTCCAACACGTCTCTGAAACTCCTGGAAATATTCTGTGCAATAATGCAGGCGTCCTGTACCAGTGGGATATCAGTTTGAAATTGACTTCTTGATACCTGGTGCTGATTGAGCTTTTGTGCTGGAGGATGAGTTTTTGTCCCCATTGGGCTTCCGAGTAGGTCCTTTCAGTTATGTCTTCCTGTTGTCTTTGAAAGGCATTCCTCCTAGTATGGTCTTCTGTGATCAGTTGCAGGTATATGCTTGACACTTTGCCTTGTACATCTGTGTCAGTGATGCAAAGATGTTCGAACCACGTTGTTTCCCTGTGTACTGCCTCTCTATTGGGCATGTTGTGGTAGAAGTGTCTCAATTGTGCATAATGGTATCTATGCATCATCGTCTGCTGAACTGTAGTCGACCATTCTCGTAGACTTCGCAGTCCTGTGTTGTTCAGTGCCCCTTTCAGAGGGATAAAATTTCCTTCAGGCGCTATGGGCCACGCAGACGTCTGCAGTCCTCCTCCTATCGCTTTTTTGTGTGTCAGCGGGATTAAGGGGCTCGGTTGGGGGGGATATGTGTTGTTTCTTCCTCGGGTTTGACCATGTTTTCAGCGTCCGTACAATGGGGGATTCGTTACCCAGGTGTTGTTTACCTTGCCAAATGTACCTATATAGAGCCTTATTCGTACTCTCTCTGTCTAGGGTTACCCATAGTTTGGTCGCCGTTGCCGAGTGCCATTCCCAGATTCGTTGGAGTACAGTTGCATAGTAGTATTTGCGGAGGTCTGGCAGTGCTAGCCCGCCCCACATTTTTGGGAGACATAGCTTGTCATAGCGGAGGCGTGCTCTCTCTCCTTTCCAGACATATTTTATTACCGCCGTTTTGAGTGTCGCAAAGAAGTCCGGCAGTATGTGCCATGGAATGGTGCTGAAGTGGTATAATAGCCGCGGCAGGATGTTCATCTTGATTACCGCTATGCGTCCTTGCCAGGAGATATAGTCATAATTCCATTTCATTAGGTCCGTCAGGATTGTACTATTAGTTCTTACAAATAGATTTGTTTTTTTTTTTTTTTATAACAAAAACAACTGGGGGTTAGGCACTGTCCCACCTACTGCTATGGACCTCCCACCTTTGTGCAGGTGTCCTGGGCATTGCTACTGTGGCTATTGTACTTATTTACCAAAGGTTCCATAGTTGCCCTGGGCAGTGAAGGATATCCCTATGGACATTTCCCTTACGCCCTTTCACTCCTTTGCCTTATTGGGCTCTTTAAACCAATTTCTAAGCTTCACTCCTCACCTACAAGGCCATCCCATTCTAATAAAAACAGTGGAATGTGTTAACCAGTCTATTTATGTGTCATGTATCACCCAAAAGAGGACATCAAGCTTGCTGCCATAGTCCTAATGTATGCCATAGCATGCCACTGTGTTTTTGGTCATAGGAAACAAAGTGGGGTATTGATACTGCATAACTCTCTCTAGAAAATGAAGGTGGCAAGGCCAGATGTCTCCCCTCCAGACCTGTCTCATACTGAATAGATCCTATAAGTTCAATGCCCTCAGACATGCTCTACCTGTACGGCACAGTTTTTCTGCTCCTTAAATAAAACTGATCAGTCCCGTGCAGAGTACATTAAACTCCTGCATGTTTTTTATGATCCTACAGTCATTCCTCATACTGTTCCTGAGCACATCTAACTGGATTTGATGTGTCCTTTCATGCTGTAGTTAGTAGATTTCAACTGTCACACATACAATAATTATATGGCTGAGATTTGCACCGTACACTAGAATGCAATCTCTCTCACTCTTCTTGAACGGCCTTTTCCATTTTAACACAGCTTTTCGTCTTTTCACAGCTCCTGCTGCATCACCAAAAGAAATGAAGACAGGACCCTGTTTTAGGATTTGGATTAATAATTCTGCCATACCAAAGAGGCAAATATCCATGCCTTTCAGCATGACCTCACTAGTAGTGACAATTATCTCCAAGAGATCCACTGTTGCAATGGAGAACAAATTGCCCAGACTACTGTCAGGATCTGTTCTGCTATGTTCTGATGTCTGACTTGGCTTCTGGTATCCAGTACTCTTTTTATTCTTGCTTAGTTTTTCTTGGTTTTTCTGGTGTTCTATTCCATGTCTGGTTTTCTTTACAGTCCTGTCCAGTCATGCCCATGTTATGTTCATGTTTCCCTCATGTCTTGTGTACATGTTCTGGGTTTAGCTTTCTGTCCTTCTCTGGTTTTGGGTTCTACTAGTTTTGTCTTGTTTGGTGTCTATCCTAGCCTTGTTTCTGTACTGGATACATTCTTGCTGCAGAGCCTCCCTATTCAGCTCGTGGGAGGTCTACTTAATTCCTGCTCCTAGTTCTTGGGATCCGCTGTAGCTGCATCAGGGTTCTGGTATGTGGCCGCACAAACGCTGGTGCTCAACACCAGAGGGCGTGTGGTTACCCTGCACTAGGCCCTGATAATCCACTTCCACGCTGAAGACTCCTAACCTCTCATCAGGCACTCAGGGGTCCCGGTTTCCGTACCGCCACCCTGACAACTCCCCACATAAATCATCTAGATGAAGAGAATAAGAGAATGGGTTTACTAGAAGGAACACCAGATCTATATACGATAGAATGTTTTCTTAATGGGGATGCAGACACAGGTGTCTTACCAAATGGCCAAGACTCGAGACAGCCACTATGGATTGGTTTAGAAAACCTCTGCTGGTAAAACACTGAAAAATGAACAGTAGAAACACCACAGCACAAAAAACCCAATGATTTACCTTTAAAGTATTCACAGAAGACATGCATCAATGTAATAAGCATGTGTGCAAAAGCAATTAAGGAATAATGTACCCTTTCATTAAAAGCAAACAAATGCAACCAAAAACACAACCTGATTTGTATTAGATAAGTTAGATTTATGAAGATAACTACCTCCTAATAGCAAAGCACTGTTTGTGCACATTTATGTTGTAGCATTAATGTCAGGGTGGGTTATCTGCCTTATGTATTACATTAAATGTGGTTCATATGCAGTCAGGGCGATTTACTTTTTGGCTCATCCAAGGCAGGGATTAAACCCGTATTATTTGTGGAATAAAATTACTTGCCTGTGTTTCTTTCAGCGTGGCATTAACAGTTATACACTAAATATCACTAGAGCAAGGGAGCCCAAAAGGTAGATAACCTAGATGTAGAACTACAACTCCCATGATATCTTTCAAGCCTCTAAAATGCCTTTAGAATGACAAAGCATTATGGAAGCTGTAGTTTTAAAATATTTTAAAATTTTCTTTTTGGCTCATCCAAGGCAGGGATTAAACCTGTACAATCTAAGATCTGGAGCCAGGGGTACAGATGCCAATGTAGGTTCACAACAAAGGGTCTGGTAATAGAGGTTTGCACTCCTAGCCTTCAGTGTTCCTTTCACTAACTGTTTTAACTTATATAATTATTACTGTCCACCCTGTATCATCTCTACCGCATCTATATATCATAATACTACATATGGCTTGTGCCCTTGTATCGTCAGGAGTGCTTGCCTTTGAAAGACTTATCAATGATTGCCTTGAACAATTATGCACATGCGCAGGTCTGTAACATTTAACCATGAGAAGTCTCTGATTAGGCACAAACATTTTTTTCTGTGCCAGGGAAATAGAGTAGGGCTTGCAGTAGCTGCAGATACTAGTTATTTGGGCTAATGAATACTATAGCCAGCCAAGAGTAGAGGCAGTTTGAGGCTTATTTCTGCTTTTCCTTAAGATTGCAAGCTGTAAGCTTGTGTAAGTAGGGAATTCTTGTCTCTGATCGGCTAATATGTTTGGTCACTATTATTTATCTAACAAGGTGTGTGTGTGTGTTTGTTTGTTTGTTTGTTTGTTTGTTTGTTTGTTTGTTTGTTTGTTTGTTTGTTTGTTTGTTTGTTTGTTTGTTTGTTTGTTTGTTTGTATATATATATATATATATATATATATATATATATATATATATATATATATATATATATATATATATATATATATATATATATATATATAATGTATAATGTATCTATTGTACCATATCAATTGTTCATTATGAAAAATAATTGTTCATTTTTTTAAATATATATTAATTGTTTGTGGGCAGAATGAAGGTACAAACAGGATAACATTTGTGAAAACACAGATTACATGACAATCAAAAGAAAACTTATGAAATACGGTGCCCATTTTATATGTACTAAAAATGTAGTAAGCCCAGCCTAAAACCATAGCTGATAGAGAAAATGAAACTGACAGATGGAAATTAGCCATTGAGAGGATCAGAGATCACTGTAAACTTTTCCTAAGCGACTGCTAAAAATTATAAAATAAAGTAGCGAGCAAGGATCCCCACAGAGGGGTTATGGGGCCCAAAGGCCTCAGCTGGGTGGTGAGACAGAGATCTAAGCCTAAATTGGAATAAGCAAACACTGTTGAGAAGGAAGAAAATTATATTAATAAGGGGTTTGAAAATAACATAATAAGAAACTTGGATTAGCTACTCTTTCAGCCTGTGCCATCTGTTGTATGGGTGACAAAGGGAATAATATTAGACATGTCCCAAGTCTTAGGAGGCTCCAGCAGGGGTAGACCAAGGGACTTGAGGAAGGAGTATTGTCCACTGCAGAGGTGAGTATGTAAATCTTGCCATATTTTGTAGTGGATGGAGAGCGTGCCTGTCCCCACCGATGTTGGCGTCCCACAGCGTGAAATGATCTTCTCCATTCCTGTGTGCACTTGCATAGATCTTGCAAGAACATGAGTGGCACACTGGATTTCAGCTCTTTCAGAACAGCCAATTCATCAATAAGTTTTGTAAAGTAAAGCAGAACATCCATGGTAGCTTCAGCTGGTTCTCTTGCTGATTGTTCAAGGGGCAATCAGCCGTCAATATGGACAGATTTCGCCTGCCTTTGTGGCAAAATAGCCAATAGGCAACAAAGTGTGGCAATTATTTTGCATCCATTGCCTCGGCAGTGCCCCATACTTTGCGGTTATTGTGTCTCTGACTGTTGTGCAGTGCATTAAATCAAAGTTACATCTTTTGGTGGGAGGCATGTAGCTGAGAAACTTGTTGTGCCCACCTGGTTCTGAGCCATTGAAGAAATATCTTCCTCTGCCCTCTGTACTCTAGTGGTAACAGCTGTAATCCCTTCCCTCACCACCACCAAATCTGCGTTAAAAAATGTCCGAATATTTTTCATTAACTCCATTATGTCACCTTTAGTAGCTGGAAAGTCTACATCTTCGGGTGTTACGTGAGTATACTAACCACCTGTGATCGGGAACTCCTCATGGACATCAAGAACCTCTTCATTAGATAAGGGTGAACAGTGTGGGTTTGGCTGCACCGCCGTCTTAGGCAGATGCCTGATCAGTAGTAGATCGCTGATGGAGTGGTGAACCTCACCCAGGAGGGTTTGGAGTTTCTTGCTCTTCTTCCCCATGGTTGTCAAGGTGTGAGAGGATCAGTTTGGCACTATTGTCCAGAGGATTTAGCTTGCAAATCTGTGTATTTGATAAGATCGAGACAGAGCTCAAAAAACAACCACTTTCCGTGTTGTCAAGACCACGACTCATCTGTTTGGCATTATCACAGTTATGTGGGTGTTATATACCTTCTCATCCTCTGTCTATGCGTGCTCATTATGTGTTCATACTTTGAGAGCACTTCCTGTCTGACCGGGTATTGCAGTGAGTAGGTACAGGATGGGAGGGGGAACAAACACGGAAGGAGGAAATGGGACACATGAAGGGGCATAGGGGAGGGAATGGGACATATGAAGGGGCTGGGAAGGAGGGAATGGGACACATGGAGGGGCTGAGGGGAGTGAATGGGACACATGGGTGGACTGGAGGGAGGGAATGGGACATATGATATGGAGGGGCAGGGAAGGAGGGAATTGGACACATGGAGGGGCTGGGGGGGAGGAAGGGAGGGAGCAGGGCTATTTTATGTGTGGTTTCTAATTATGCATTTGAAATGTTGTGAGCAGAAGCATAAACAGGGCTACTCTAATTTTAGGGGTGTGTGGCCAGGGGCAGGCCTGGTCTAAGAAATTTTAGGTAACCCACTAATAGTGTAACTAAAATTAAATTTAGAACAATGCACCTAATTTACACACACTCATTTCTAAACACATTTATTTTAGTTTAAAGACACATTACTGGGAGTATTATTGCTATGGAGCTCTGTTACACAAGACACACCAACAATATGGAGTTCCCTTGAGTAAAAAATAGTGAATCTTGTTCCTAAATAGAGACACTTGGGAGGTATGTGAGCTTTGCATTTTGTTAGCTTTGCATTTGTTTTCCAGATGGTTTTTTACATGTCTGAGGTTACAAAATTTCTCCTATTTCATCATCTAATCACAGTATATATGGGAATTTATGATGCCTTCAGACAGTGTTTTGTAAATTGAAGAGGTTTTTCCTTTGATCCAATTACTTTTTCAGTTTTCTTTTTTTTTTTTCAGGATTTGTTAATCTTCGGTTTGCTTCCTTCCAAAACCATGATTTATTCTCCAAATCCCTAAGTTGTAATTATTTAAAGAAACTCGAGAGTTTGCAATGCTGCTCTTTGTTTCATGTGCTCTTGGCCTTTCATTTAAGTATCTTAATGAAGGAGTTATTTTACATACTGCCAGATTCTCTTAGGTGTTTAAAGTTACAGGTTTTTGAATTAATATCATATATTGCATTAATAAAGACTGTTAGATTCAAAAGCCTGGAATGCCATTTGCTGTGAAGTGCACTTACTTTTTAAAGGAAAATTTCAAAGACAGCAAACACTACAGTCTGCTGTTGTGGTTGTGGTCCCAGGAGTGCACAGGCGCTATCCCATGGTAAGATGCTAAACTATTTTAGTACGGTCTGACAACTTGCAGGACCATGCTCATTGGCTGGGATTGGTCACCTGGGCATGGCCCTGTTTTACCCGTTCAAGAGACCTGCGGCGAAATCTTGAATCTCGTGGTGGAGAAGATCGGATGCAGGGGACGTGGTTGCAGATGGTTTGACATCTTTCTGTGGGAAGGTGCCAGGGAACTCCGGTCACTATAACCAATACAATGGGCCGCGGTGGTTATGGTGCTTGTGATGTTCCTTTAAGCAACAATAGGCACTAGCCAAAGTAGATTCAAGATAGCAAGGAATCTGTGGGACTAAATACTGGCACTGGGTTTTCCAGCATCCCTTTGCTTATAGAGACATGACCAATGGGTCCACGTCAGATCCATAACAAGAGGTACATTCTAAAGTATAAGTTAAGGTCAGGATCTGAAAATGAAACAGAAAACAAAACCAAACATCACAGACAACAGAACGAGCCTGGAACAAAACAGAAGGTCAAAGCAGAAGTGCGACAAAGACAAACTTGAAAACTGAGCTGAAAACAAAAATCTGGGAATCACAAGAGGAACAGGGTCACAG